GGGGTCCGTGTGCGCGTCGGACTTCCGCGGCGGCGGCGGCGGCGGCGGCGGCGGCTGAGGAGGAGCCGAGAGGCCTCAGCCATATTTGATGGTTTTGTTGCTTTGCTCGGGAGTTCTCGGGAGTAATTTAATGCCGAAGGTCGCTGCCTAGTGGAAATAATATAGTACGTCATTAATATGGCGCCAAAAGATTGGGTCCTCGATATGTAGCGAGGAGGGAGGGCAGGCAGCCGCCAAGCGCAGCGTTACTATCCCACCAGTAACTTGGGCATTGCTGGGGCGGGGGCCAAAGGAGGAGGAGAGGATGATTTTTGGATCCTGAGAATTGATCTATGTTGGGTCAGTAAGTTTTATTATGATTATATTTCAATTTTTGGGGGGCGGGTGAAGACTTAGAGCTTTTTCTTCTGGTTTTGCGAAGAACATGGGATTTTCAGATGAATCATAAAATTAAACGTATTCGGGAGCAGAAGCCCAGTTTAGTTGGCTTTAGTTTATAGCATTTTTAGAAAAGCCAAAGTGTATTACTAGGTTGCATGAAAGTGGAAAGCATAGTAGCAACTTGGTAGACAGATGGCAATGGCAGAACGCAGGTCCGCGTACATATATGAATCCAGAGTGTGTGTGACCGTGCGGGGGGAAGGGGAGAGGGACGACGACTGTATTTGTCCAAACATAGGTGTGTGTGTATAGGTATATCTGTATAGGGTGGCCGCAGCCCTGGCTCTTGTCACCGCGTCACCACATGTCCAAAATATTCATTACATCAATTCAAGGGCAGTGAGCGGGGGTGGGGGTGAGGGACAGCTTAGCAATTAGATTCTTCCAAATTGGATTTCCAATGATCAAACCTTTTACTTACAGTGGGACCACCTGTGAAGTGAAAAGCCCTTCATCGGTGAAATAAGGAGGGAGTTGCTTTGGTAGAGCAAAGTACCGATTAACCATGAACTTAAAACGGATTGCAAATTGCAACCTTTGGCACCGTCTGCAAATTGTGGGGGTGTCGCTTGGTCTTCACTGCCTGAAATGAACGTGCAGTGTGCACCCCGGGACTGCAAGTTGCAAAGCCCTTCAGTGCACGTGTCTTGTGCCTGTGAGTGTGTATTTGTGAGTTGGGAGCTGTTGTTCGGTAGCCAGCAGGCTTTCCGGGTTGTTGGCGCTGGCTTGCAAATGCGGGAGAGGGATGGAATGTGGAATGTTGACCGGGGAACCGAATCCTGTCGGAACGGTCCCATTTGCTGGAGAAATTCGATCCCCTCCACCTCCTTCCCGCTCTCCCCCGCCCGCCTGCGGGTTGGAGGCGGGGCCGAGGACGCCGCTGCTGCTCAAAGTGGCGGAGCGCGGCGGCGGGAGGCAGGTGCACGGCACCCGCCAGTGGGGGTGCTTCAACTTCCGCGGGCGTTTAAATAGCAGCCTCTCTCCCCTCCCACCGGTAATAGGTGACCTGGCGGCCGAGGGCGGCGGGGCGGAAGGGACGGGGGAGACCTGGGAGCGAAGCTTCGCGGCACGTGGGCA